CTACTCGCGCTTTTATATGACAAAAAAACTATTCGTTTACAAATGTGGTATCTGTGATCTCATCGGAATGCATCAGTCTAGGTATCATAAGTACGCGCATGTGCAGATCGCTTGGTGCTTCGAGTAGTATGCTTTCGAAACTAAATCAATGGCCTTTTTAGCGTTAGGCAGTGTTGTGTGGGCAAAGATTTCAAATTAGAACAAGAAGAAACATTTTTTATCAATAAAAAAGGCGAGTTTAATGATTTTATAGGTATCATTTACTTTGTAAAGTATTTTCTTGGCCTGAGAGGTCAACGTTATCACTTAGCGTCACTTGTCTAGGCATAGCACGTTTGATTTTATCAGTGAAAGCAAGGACTCTTTTAAAACGTTCATTGCTATATTAATTACATGACCTTTTAGGTCAAGTTTATTTTAGTCTCAAGAGAGGTTGGATATTTTGAACTAGACGCTCTTATTAGGCCGTGAGTGTTACGCGCTTCGAGTTACGCGCTTTTCGAGTTACGCGCTCGACCACGCCCACATTTGCCTCGGCCACGCCCAGCGCATAACTCGATGCAACTAACATACATTAGGAAAATGCACTATTTGGCTCGATACACCAACCTTGATGACCTAAACCAATGTCATAATCTATGCTTCGACACAGATGAATGTCTTGGAATAACAAAAGGCCTCGAATATCAAAGAATTACTATAAAAGCTACAGCTCCCGGGCAGTTAACTGTTCTATTACACGATTGTTTACAGCCGAGTTCGTAATGTGATATTTCGTTATAGATCGGAGGGCGATCGGGAGACCCGAAGGCAAACTTCTGACTTGGAAAAAAACAAAAACAAAAACTAAACGCGTTGCATTTTATGACTCGTGCCCGGCCAAGGGCCTGGTCACGAGTAATTATTCAGTAATTAAGAAGTTTACATTTTGTGCAAATTGAATAAAAATGTAGGGTTGCCGCGCACGCCAGCGCAGAAAACCGCGCAAACGAATTTCTTCTGATGTATTCTTGTAGGAAAACGAAGATCACTAATAGATTTTGAGAGCAAATTGCATTSATCACTTTTCAGCTTAATCATACAATTATGAAGCAAATTCACGCGGTCATTTGTCATAATTCGCGGTTCAGCAAGTCAAATCGGCTCTGTTACGTGAATCTTTTCTAATTTGGTTGATTTTCGGCTTGATTGTTCGTGAAATTCTAGATGGAAACACTATCTGAAAGCCGGTAAATGATTTAAATATCTGAAAATAGCATTTGCGTGAGTAAGACCGCCCATTTAATTCATATTAAGACCATTATCGTGGTTTAGTGTTTGAATTGAAGACCACTTTCACGGATCCACTAAACGTCTTGAAGGCAAGGCGCGAATAAAGTTTCCTTACATCAACAAGGTAAGAAAATTGCGCCACGTTACATCTATCCGTTTCCAATCACGCTCCCACCTTGGCAATTCTGGTGACAAATTTAAAGAGAGTTAAATGATGTTGGCCATTCTGAGGCACGAATCGCAGTATTGTCAATTTAAATTAAAAGTTCAATCAGATACGAGCAGTTCGTGGGAAATCTTCAATTTTGGACAGGTTTGATAGCATCAATAGGTCCGGCAGTGATGTGGTACACTAGATTTGATAGCATCAATAGGTCCGGCAGTGATGTGGTACACTAGGCAAGAAAAACCACGATAGCAATCACTTGTGAAAGCACGGTGATTTGAAAGCTTCACAAGATAGACACCTAGAATTCCGGTGAATTTCCCGGCTGTCACATTCGCTAAATGTTTTCATATCTCTTGAAAAGGATAGAAAACCCGTGGCGAAGTAACAAAGAAGATTTGAATTTCAAGACAAAATCGCCCGCAGTGTTTACGAAGGCGTACGGCGCGCGATAAAAGATGCTTTCTCGTTTTCAAAGCTTTAGTGTTGTCTATATTGGATTTTGATGGAAAACACAACCCTGGCACGATTGGAGAATCTGTTAATGGCTTAATTTGAGGTAATTTATGCTTCCTGACCAGTTTTTTTCTGGGGCAGTAACGGATATCGTGTGCGCACAACACCTGCCCAGCTCACTCGAACTCTGCTCGTGCTGAGAAAACTCGAACGTCATATAAAATACTAACTACAACGAGATAAAACATCAGGCAAGATCTTGTGAAAGTGAATTGGCAGTTTTGAAGCAATCTATCGTTATCTCTCCTTCGCAGAAATTATTGATTTATCCCTGTCTGTTGACGCACATTTCTGGTAAGTTTCTTCAAAACTATATTCTTGCGTTTGCAAGGGCGATTTCCCAAGAATAGATTGTTTTTATGTTTACTTTTGTCGACAATTAACATTTTGTAATCAATATTATTKAAAAACGTTTTATTTAAGTCTAGAWTTTGAAAAGAACGAAAGCTTTGCCACATTCATTGCATGGGATATTGAAAAGTAATGTTTCAAGGACGTTTTTCTTGTTTGTTCAGTGCAATGCCTTACCTTGAAAACATCAGATGTAGTCGCGTAATTTTTCTTATTTTCAATTACACCTATCTTGTTTTTGATTAATATTATGACACAAAKATTGATTAATTAATAATTAAATTTTGTCATTTAAACTGATTTTAAMATTTCAAATTATCAAAGTGATTTATGTGTGACTATTAGGAGGTGATTCTTCAAAGATCTGTAGATAAAGCCCGGCGATGACAAAAAAAATATTGAGACTGTTTTTCAATTCTGTGATACTAAATTGTGACAGTTGCAAACGAAAAACGTGAAAATGGAAGCTTCATACATGACATCAATGAAACATGATTCGCACAAACGAATTATAATTTTRATTATAACTTAAAAGCAATATAAATATGGGCAGGATATTTTAATTAGAATTATAACCAATTATCATTATTGTTCACTTGACGCTGAGTTCGATATAAAGAATGAGGGCTACAATTACAAACGCATAGATTGAGTTACGTAAGCCTCGTTCGTAGTGATGATGCGGTTTAGTCTAACGTTACGTTATGCGTTGTCATGGTTATCCATCCTAAAGAGAGAAAAACTGTATAAAGGAAAACGTAAGGCCTAAAAAAATGAAACAGTTTTGAATTATTCTCCGTCATCAAATGAAGGAAAAACTAATAAAAAACGTTAATTAGTAAGTTCGTCCTGGTTTTGAACCGTATTTGCATATAGGTTTCATTCCTCTGAAGACAGAGAACAACATGAAAACGTTATGAAAACGTTAGTCCTCGAACGCATTTTTACGTTCTTGTATTATTTGTATTGTAATGAGTCGTTCCTTTGAAGACAGAGAAAACTGATGAAAACGTTATGAAAACGTTAGTCTTCGTCCGCGTTAATACGTGTTTGTATAGTTTTCATTCCTCCGAAGAAAGAGAACATTTGAAGACAGAGAACAACACAAGAACGTTCACGGAAACGTTAGTCCTCGCCCGCATTGTTACGTTTTTGTACTGCTTTCTTTGAAGACAGAGAACAACACAAAAACGTTACGGAAACGTTATTCCTCTTCCGCATTGACGAATAAAAAACAAAAACGTTTCAAAACTAAGTCAACGGATCAGAGCAGACGAGGCTTCTAGGCTCATTAAAAAATAAATATTACTTAGGAAGATCTTCGTTACTAGAGTTAACTTATTGTCAAAGCGAACAAAGAGATACTCCTTCTAGCAACGGACACACTGTACGTAAACACGCCGTAACTTCATGCCAGTCTAACGGTGGGTTGCCAGCTGTTTTAAGCTGGTTTTAATGGTAACAATGCAGCGAGGAGCTTCTAGACAGCTGGAGAAATATGTTGTACTAAAAATGGCCAATGCGTTTCGCCTTTATAATTTTGATTAGTCGGTCGAAATGAAAAATRGAARATTCGAAATATATTTCTAGCTTCTATGCCTTTTTCATCTCTTTTTATATTTCTGTTTTTCCTATATGTAAGCTCTTTCATCTATACTGATATTTATAATTGTTTTCCCGTTTTTATTAATGCTATGATTTWAACATTATAGGTTTGGTCTATGAAGTTCCAAGCGGCAGTTACTTCWATATAACGAAAAATGCTCCTTTTTCCACTAATACTTCTGCTACAGACCTCTTCAACCGCTTTAAGAACAAACAAAATATGCATCCAAGAAAGAGGTTAGTATTAAAATGCTTCACTTTGCGAAGAAATGAGGAAAAACAACCTTAACTCTCGTTACAGATTGATTTTGAAAATGACTCATACTTAACTGACGTCATAAATTTAGTAAATACGTCACAAGAGTATTTTTATGGCCAGAAAGGCAATAACGATTAAGTCCGTGGTGACCAACTCGAAGTTGAGTTTAGATTCATGAGGGGTGTCCCTGCTTAAGTTTCGTCGATATTTTTTTAATACGTTTTTTCCCATTCAATTTGAGCTCGTGCAATTAAGGCACAACTAATTCGCAAGRAGCTGATAGAACTTGAAGAGAGCAAAGTCACTATGTAGAAGCTAATAGTAAACTTTAAACAAGACTTAACCTGAAGTACTGGAAGCCTAATATTTTTAGCCTGAGTTTCATCCAGCGTTTACCCGTAAACACCGTCTGAGGGTCATTAGTTTTGAAAATAAACCGGATGTACGCAGGCTTCTATATTTTATTATCATATAATTATCTATGAAATGCCTATATTTCTCTCTTTCGAAAAGATGTTATTTTCACTAGTTAAACGCTCTGCGCTCAATCGTGAGAGACACTTTTCAGTACTCGATGAAAACATCCGTATCTCACAGCGTGCACGTGTAATATCCTCTAGAACATTTAAAGTTCTCGAACGTTATCGAACTTAACACTTCATCTCTAGAACCAAACAATTTACAATTTACAATTTACACGTTAAAACGAACTTAACACTTCATCTCTAGAACCAAACAATTTACAATTTACGTTAAAACGTAAAAGCGTCTCTTCAAAAAAAGAAATAATAAAAATAAAATAAAGTAGGCGTGATATAGTTTCAAAGGTTAAAATAAGCTTTATATTTCTAAAATAACTTGAATAAAATATGCGATCCGTTCATGACGTTWGGTACTAAACGGAGTACTYGATGTAACCTRTCGAGCTTTGCGCCTCGTTAGAATATGACAAGACGAGTAAACAAGCTCCTTAAAGATGATAAAATATCGAGGATAATAGTTGATATGAGTGACAGATTGAGCTGACTAAAGTCATTTTTATTTTCAAATGAGGATAAAAATGACAGGGCAYATCAATATCAATAAAATACAACCATCGAAATAAGAAAATGGTATTCGATACTGAAAATTTAGCAATTTGATATTTGATATCATTTTCTATATACATCATTTCTACACCACGCTTTTGTTTTTCTATTTAGGATATACACTTAACACATCCACAGCAAAACGTGACGACTTTTACCAAGCTTGTACCAGAAAATGCAAGACATGTTCTAAACCYTTCCCTCCCGACCCTCGTTTCAAAGGGAGGTACTCTTTCCCTGTCAAAAGTATAGGCCGCAAAAACTGCGATGATCCTGAAGCAATTGCAATGATTGAAAAGGGGGTAAGTGATGGAATACCGTTCAATCTTGTACGTCCAATTAATGCCGGGATAAAATACACCATTGAACTTGTTTGCACGAAGAAACGAATTCTTGGGAAGCCGAAAAACGAGCAAAATAGCGAGGGCCAAGAAATATATTGAGGCTAGTTTCTCTAACCAGACTGGCATGGCATTACAAGATGTCAGGCATTGCATGGTTAAAGTATGCCGTGCGAGATGAAAGACATTGTTTCTGCCTTTGGATGAAAGAGAGTCGGATTAGATAAATTTCTTTTTCGACTTGGCAGCATAATTTACAGACCTTGTGTTTCGCTGGCGAACTTGAAGAAACAATGTTTCGAAAAATTTCAGTTTAAAAAGTATTATATCTGTATTCTCTTTCTCAATACTTTATAATTTGTTACAAGTACTCAAAAATACAAATAAAATATCAGGAATACAATACTCCGATTTCGAGTTCTGGTTTGCTCTGTGTTAGCCTCAAAACCAAGCAATATATTCTTTTGCTTCATTGACAGCCCGAGAAAACGCATGGAATTTGAAAAAAAGACAATGGAATTGATTTGAAATCTCACACTTTTATTCAGCACAATTAGGAATATTTTGCGCGCAAATGAGGCTAACACAGAGCATTGGAGAATTCGAAACTGGATTATTTGAGTTATCATATAATGATGTAATAACCAGAACACAACACGGTTCTGATAATGACGCAGAGGGTCAGGTGTTCGTTTCAATCGCGAACGATACGTGATATGAACACGCTACGTGACGTCCGCATCATCAAAAGGACTTAAGTTCACTAATAGAGGATTATATAATCCGCAGATACCCTTAATCCTGAAGAACTGCTCATTCGCAAGAAGTGCACACAAGTGGACTGTTGACTATCTTAACGAAAACTTAAAAGACAAAGATCACATCACTTACGTCGCAAGTCAACGAAGATTTCTATTTTACGATGAGGACAAACTTATCGACAACTACAAAAATTGGACACCACCCCATGAGAAACGATTAATGTATTTTCATGAATTCTTAAAGATGGCTCGTGCTCTTAAGAAAGCTAACAATGGGACGCTGTCRTACTTCCAGGTACAAAAAAGCATGCGCAAATGAGAAAATAACTAATCCTCTGATGTGAATTTTGAGCCTATCCCACATGGCTCAGTGTCCGTTCTCCTAAATGGCTCGCTGAGTGACTGTCTCTTTCCTTTGTAAAAATAACGGACTTCCTGTGCTAAATTAGTAGGAGAACGTAGCTAGAGTACAAACATCGAATGTGTGCAATACTTTACACTATTTACTACAAAATATTGTTAATTAAACAATAGMAAACAATAGAATTAGCATAATTTAGCAGTATTTAGGTAATATATACAATATGAGCGGGCGATCTGTATGAGGATYTAAAACAGCGAGCTGAAAGCGAGCTGTTTTAAACCTCATACAGATCGCACGCGAATATTGTATATTACTTATGAAACGTTGAGGTAAACTAGCTCTGGTTTTAAAGAAACTTTGAAAAAGAATTCAATCTGACCGAGAAAATCAGAGTTTAAGGTTTATGCAAATGAACAAGAATCTGTATGTAATATACAACTCTCTTCATGGGCTATGATTTCTATTGTGTTTTGCCTTATGAATATTAATGAGTTTTATAACAGTATTTAGTGGTATTTATGTTGCACAGCTTTAGTGTTTGTACTCTAATCAGTAAACTCCTAAACGTAGCTAATCATTTCTCTTACCCAGTCCCCACTCTACAATATCGAGGGAGTAAGCCCTGCGCTAGAGAAAGACATCAACGCATTCGACTATTCCTGGCTTCTGGATATTGTGTCACGGCTAGGGTGGGGAGATGAGGTGATCAACCTATTGTTTATTGGAATGTCCGACGTAGTCACGCCAGCTCACTACGACATTCTAGAAAACTTCTTCGTTCAGGTGAATCACGCAATGAGTGTCACGTAATATCATACATCACGCAATTCATTTTCTGTTTTTCTTCTTRTGAATCACGCAACGAGTGTCACGCARCACCATACGTCACGCAATTCATTTTCTGTTTTTCTTTTTTTTGGATTGGTTTAGATAGCAGGCTACAAACGAGTTATTCTCTTCCGTCCTGACTACTTCAAAAGTCTGTATCCATTTCCGGTTGGACATCCACATGACAGACAGTCTCAGGTATACTTTTCACATCTCTTTCTCCCTTTCTTTCTTTCTTTCTTTTTTTCTCCCTTTCTTTCTTTCTTTCTTTCTTTCTTTTTTTTCAATTGTTACCAATGCAGTGATTTGCTATTTCTTACAAAGTGTAATTTTTCAGACAGAAAACATGACTTCCTACATTATTTTTCAGGTGAATTTTGATAATCCAAACTTCGAGAAATTYCCCAATTTTCTCGATATAGARGGTTTAGAGGCTGTGGTAGGCCCCGGTGATGTCCTGTATATACCGATATATTGGTGGCATTACGTAGAGAGCGAACGGAACAAGTAAGAGTTTATACTGGAACCCCTCCTTTACGGCCATCCGGCTAATGCGACCACGCAGTTAAAACGGCCAGATTTTAAAGTTATCTTTCCTTATTTTATTTTTTGATTAGCATGACAGTATCGGTGAATTTCTGGTTCAACCATAAAAATGACACAATGGAGTCGACTTTGAACGGAACAAATTCAGCGACCCATTTTACGAACCACTTAAAGAACGTCACTCCACACTCAGCTAAAAGAACGTCAGTTGCTGGAATAGAAGACTTGGTATTGAAAAGAGAGATCGAATCATTGATATATGAGACGACGAAGGATCATAGTAAGGTCAGTGGTTAGCGCAAGTCTAACGCATGCGCAACCGAATTTCGATGTAGGGAATCTACTGCCGTGGAAATAAATGGGTATATTTTTTAAATAAAAGTCTTAATCATAATAGAGGAGTGGTATGCATCATCCCGTGAAACACACTTTAGCTCATTGCACGCATTACTATTTATTGCGCACTTTTTTTCTTTCGTTGTTTTCTTTTTCTTTCTTTTTTTACGCTCACTCGTGAGAGATCTTTTCAACACTCGGAGRTAATTAAGCCCTTAYCTCCGCGCGCAAATGTAATATCCTCTATATCTGTTCTGTTGTCAGTCAATAATCAATCAAAATATCCAAAATCGGTAWTATTTTTCACAGGTYGTTCAAGTGTTGAAAGAAATAATTGCAGGACGATTTGGGTTCGTTGAAAAGGGTACAAGTGCGTCTAACCCCTGACTCTGAGGATAAGAGACATTAACATTCGAGCAGTCAGTATAGGCGATGTATATTATACCATGTTTTGTAGTAATATAATTTGGCATAAATGCATATAAATGTGCACAATTGTTAAATTAACAAATTTTTATGARCGATAGAGAAGCACTTGCCATTATTCCTAGTGCGCACGTTACGTCTTCGCCGCCATATTGGATGAAGATAACGAAGCATTGCTCACTAGTTTCTCTTGCTTATTCATATATGAYGGCGGCATCTCTGTTGTTTGTTGCTCTTTGTTAAGGCCCGTTAAMACTTGCGATTTTGCAGAGCGATTCTCGCGGCGATCGTCGCGCGACTTCGCTGCAACTTCGCGGCGATTTTCCAWCGCCGCAACAATCGCGATTTGAACGTTGCRCGACAGCAAAGTAGCGATTATCGCGCTGCAAAAATAGCAAGTGTAAACAGAGCTTTACAGGGTTACACCCGCCATTTTGGATGACAAAACATTCTTCTTTAGTTTCTCTTTATTTATCMAACATGGCGGCGAAAGCTTTGTTTTTGGAGTGGTTGACATAAGCCTATGAAAAAAAGGGTAATAATGTTTGATGCACCGACGACACAAAGAAAAACGTGCAAAATATAGGCAATAAAGTGTAGTTATTGTAGAGTGAGGACAAAAAATCCGTGAAATATATAGATATTACACTAATAGACAATGCTGTAATCGTATTGTTTTCTTATAATGTGTCTATTTGACTATCACAATTTAATAGTCAAGTTTTGTTTCACGGGTATAGTGACCTTGCCTATTTCRCGGGTTTATGAAGAAAAAATCTTGAAAATCAGTTCCTTTGGGGATTCTCCTCCGAGTGGATCAAACTCTAGGATCAGTTTATTGAACTCCATCATAATACGAATAAGAAAATCGTAAATTTTCAAAATGAACTAAAGTTATAACATCATAASATGTAAAAATAAGTAAAATGTAAATGTAAAATGCGATGAAAATAATTTCAATGTACGTAGTGTGATGAAAAATTTAAATTTTCTAAATCAAACTTAAAATTGACAATGTCGTGAGCAAATTACTAAGATAAATTACGTGTATAAAATATTTTTCAATAATACAGAAAATGYTAATAAATGAACATTTCATGTAATTTGGTTTTTGTTGTATCGATGCAGCAGTTTTAGCTTGTAAAGGAGGGATTCTTAGGCAAAGGAGCGCGCGGACGAATGAGGTGAGAATGGTTTACGTTACGTTACATGTTACGATACGTTACGCCTGCTTTACAAACTATAGCAGTTTTGAAATCGAGCAGRTCTCCTTGCGCAAGATTGAGCAGTATCAAGTAGTGAAATAATATTTTGAGTTTTCAAATGCTCTTTTAATTGATCAATCTAACTATTGAGTTACAATTAACGTTCAGATAATATTCTCTTAGTCTTAAWATTCCCTTAATAAGTACAGTTTTCGGTTCCGCGATCTTAAGTAAGCATACGTAAAACCTACGTACACTTACGTAAAACAGTTTTCTTCCTAACGAATAGTACAACATACAGCAACGGCCACTGCACGTGAGCATTTGCAGTTACAAACACGGCCTCTAAGTGTATGGGCTCCAGTGCATTTCCGTGGGTATCTTCGATTACAAGAACAGTAAACTGCTTGGTGCCTTCGAGGACAAATGACATGCTTAAAACGGTGGGTCATCACTCTGCATTTGAGTTTTCCTTTTCCTTTTCGACCTGGAATGAAATATTATTAAGTCTACTATATTTCCATTAGAAAGGATGAAACAGAATGAGAGAACGGGAAAGAATAGAACATAACCACATAATATTGAACATAATATTGAACATAATATTGAACATAATAAAGAAGAGCAGAGCAGAGCAGAGCAGAGCAGAGAAGAGCAGAGCAGAGCAGAGCAGAGCAGAGCAGAGCAGAGCAGAGCAGAGCAGAGCAGAGCAGAGCAGAGCAGAGCAGAGCAGAGCAGATTAACAAAGACTAAAGAATATTTCCTACCTGGTGGTCCTTGAGGCCCTGGTGGTCCTGAGCTTCCTGGAGRTCCTAGTGAACCAATAATTTGGTCACAAATTTAATACTTTTCATTCTACTAAAAACACCCCAAGAAAGTAAAAAAACCTCAAAACTCGACTTCAACCGTTGCTCTCTCTCTCTTGCAATGCACCGTGTTTTTACAATAATCAGTCTTTTAAGGGACTGCGCATCAGGAGGGAATCCAGGGGGGGAATCAGGGCGATCCAGGGGGGGTGGGAGCTCTAATTTTATGTGCTTAAAGAKAAGGTGCAACGTCTAAAATTGTAATCTAGAACTTTTATTGGAAACTGAAAATCAACGGTGTCCGATTCTGTGCTTTTTGGCCAAACACTTATTGAAGTGAAAAACTTAACTCAAGAAAAGCGGCAACTCTTTATTCAGGAATAATAGATAAATAAATTCAGGGGAGCGTAATTTAGCGCAGTCCCTGACCTTGTATATATGTGTATCCTTTCACCTTTCCCCGTAACGACGTTAATTGTATTTCGTATTTAGCATACCTCGTGATCCAGGATAACCTCGGGGCCCTTGTGAACCACGATATCCTCTTGGGCCAGGAGGACCTGGTGGACCTGCGCGAACTTARGAGTTGATAAATAAACATTTAATCAGTCCATATTRCCACAATACAGTAAAAACCCTCGTATAACAACACACATTTTGCCGGTGGTTCAGGCTGATTTGGTTCTTATATAAAGGGTTATAATCTGAAAAATCAGCCTCTAAATATAGAATGACAAAAACGAGTCCGAGGAAGGATAACATCGTAAAATCCAAAATTTGGATTATAAACGAGACGTTGTTCAACAATATTTCGGTTTAATTCAGAACCATAATCATGTTAATTAACAAAAAAAAACTGTCAGAACCATAATCATGTTAATTAACAAAAAAAAAAAATGTCAAACTGTCAGATCGTAATGGATTTCAGCCTCTAAATGTTCTTAGTGTTCTTAAAAAAATAAGTTTCATAAAATAAGGAACATACTTGGCTACCAATATATGAAATCAATATATGCACACAATTTTAATTAATCAATATAATGATGTAACTATTTTTATTTAAAAAAAAAAATTGATAAATCAATGTGTGCAATGAAAAGTATTGTTGATCTTTGATATGTTTCCATAAGAACTTTCGTTTTTTCAGGCTGAATGTGTTCTTATATAAATGGTGCTTTATTTCCTAAAATCAGGCCTGGGTGTTCTTAATCCACTTCTTATACGCGTGTTTTTATTGTAGTTTTTTATAGAACAGCGATAATAGAGCGTAATTTAACCATCAAATCTATTCTTTCACTGTGGAAAATAACACATTCGTGGTATCTCTAAATATTGGAAGTAAATAAAAGTTATTTTTAGACGTACATTTTGTCTTTTCAACACTCGACAGAGGACTTAAAAAGAGAGCTAAAATTACGCTCTTCGACATTTTCAACGATTACAGCCCATAGGCTAACCGCTATTTATCATATAATCATCTAATAGCATGAAACTGATATATCTATATTTCTCGCTTTCGAAAAATTGTTATGATTTTCAATAGTTAAAGTAACGTTCTTCAGTTCACTATAGTGAAAATAACACATTCGAGATTTCTCTATATATTAGAAGTAAAATAAGTTATGTTACGACATAATTTGCTTTGATATGATTATATAATAAACAGATAACACTCGAAGATAATATCCGTATCTCCACGCGCCCATGTAATATCGTCTATATCATTTCTGCAAAACACATAAGAATTGATGGTACGAACCTGGCGATGGACGAACAAYAATATGTCGGCGTCTACGTCGTCGTCTCCAACCGTTTGCTCCAAACTCCTGAGAAAACAGAACAACCAACACCAAACATACAGCCRCAATAAGAGAGACTTTCATCTTGAACTAGCTTATACACGGTCGAGATCTTGCCAAAAGATAGTTGAGATCTTTGCCAAAAGACTTTGGAACTCAACTGTGGATTTCCCATCGACTATGTTTCGTATTTATGCCCAAGACAGACAAGAGACTATGCTATTGACCCACAGTTTTAACAAGTACAAGAAAGTTCATGTTTTAACCGGGAAAACTTAAAAGTGAATTAAATTTGAAAAGATAAGTGCGAAAACAGTTAATACCCCGAGGGGAAACAACAGCCCACGCTGGCAGAATTCTACCTCCTCTTTTGGCTATTGATCTTGAATATTAAAGCGAACCCTCGTTRTATAGGACACTTTTCCGACCTAAATTAATGTCTGCAATAGCGAGTTTCCAATTTAAAGTGAGCTATTTTCAGTATTTCTTCAGGGGGATTTATTTAAGAGCATTACAAGCCGTTATATCGGGGTGTCCACGAGAGTTTAAGCAAGGTAACGGTTTATTTAACAATCAGACTAAAGGCTGTATTAAAATACGAAATTTCTGCGAATTCAATAAAATGTATAAAAGATCTACGACCAGAGAAAAAAATYATTTTTATTTTATTACAATTGTAGAGAGCAAAATCAACACATTTAATTAGTTCCGCTACACAAATATTTACATAATCACATCCGCTCTTACGCGCGCTCTTATTGGCTCAAGAGCAACAAAATCACACACTAGTTCTTACGCGCGCTCTRATTGGTTTTAAGTGCATGAGAACTAGTCAAAATTCCACGCTATTTCGATAGCACTGAGGAATTTCTAGAAAGATCTAACCTTTATTCTTATTGACTGTGCGTATTCAAAATAATACATAATATCAGACCATTAAGGCCGATTTACACGGTACGTTTGTCGCGTGCGACTCAAAATCGAGCCATGTAAATGCCCCTACGACTTGTCGGAGGAATATCGTATACTACAAGTCGTACTGACAATCGTACCGTGTAAATGACCCTACGACTTGCCTAAAACAGTCGTACGCAACCTATGACTCGCCTACGACTCTATTTCTACGACTTGTCGGAGGAAAATCGTTTACTGCAAGTCGTAGCGACAACAATCGTAGCGTGTAAATACCCCTACGACTTGCCTACAACAGTCGAACGCAACCTAGTACTCGCCTACGACTCTATTTCTACGACTTGTCGGAGGAAAATCGTATACTACAAGTCGCATGCGACAGTCGTACCTTGTAAAAATCCGGCTTCACGTCCTTCAAGTACTTCCGGGTTGCGAGAGCGCAGGCATGACCTTGGATCTTTCTCATTTTTATTTTCCTCATATTTTTCGTTGACTTCAACGTGTCGCTAGTTTTAACCCACTTATGAGACTTTTTATGACTTTTTATGACTTATGAGACTGTTTTATTTTATTATCATTATTTTTTTTGCTATTTTAACTACTTCCTCACCTAAACTGACAATGAAAACATGTCAAAGCAAGATTTATCTATTTGAAATTCAAATGTACTTTATACAAGGAACTTAGTCCGGCATCTTACTGTGCYAGACACCAAATATAGAAATGAATGACTAACTGACTAAGAAGGGAAGTTATTAGCAAGTGAATAATTGAGACGAAAGAGAAGAGACTTATGGTTGCATAGCAACTTGTCCAATGTGAGGGCTAGAATATGATGCAATTCCTATATCAGTAGTAAAATATACAATTTTTCTAACATTTTTGAGCTATTTAGTTCATTTTCTTGGGTTAAGTGAAAAGTGATTCAAGAGAAAAGTGTTTAAATGAAATTTGATTTAATTCAAGCAACTGAAATTACTTTATTGGTAAAATTGATTAGCGATCTAGAGGATTCAGAAATTCAAGATTTATTAGCAATAACTTGTCAAAATAATATGTTTGAATATTGGAATATGTACATTTGAAAAGATTTAATGGAGCAAATTAATGCCACTTCCGAATTGAGCTTGYATTTGAGACGAACCTATTCACTTTTTTTCACTCAGGCTCAATGAAAAAAAAAAAACATTTAGCCGAGGTGTCAAAAAAGAAAAAAAAACAATGCTAGTTGCTCCTTGACGCCTCGGCTCAATGCTTGTTCGTGTTCTGACCGAAACTCCTACCTAAAATGCCTTCAAGAAAGTTGTAATCATGTCATTCAATCTGGAAATGGAAATACAAGTCGAAGTCTTCGAGACTTCACTTAAGTTGTGTAGCTCTTAGTGCCGGATGGGCWCAAGGGAAAGATCGTATAATTTGTTGTTCGAGGGTGGCGTATTTGTAATAAAGCTCACTCACGATGTTTCATATTCAGGTCCAGTGACCACGAACAAAGAATTGAACCGAGGCATCAAGGGTACAGTGAGCATAAAATAAAAGATCTGTGCCTAGTGTTCGTTTACCCCTCGGTTCAATGCTTTTTTCATGTGTGGTCGTCTTTCACAAAGTGTTACTAGGATGGGAGAGCCTACGTAGCACTCAGTTGATGTAATATATTCATAAAGATATAATACAAAACACATAATACAATAGAACGAGAAACAATGGAATACAATACAYTTTATGAATACATTACATCAACTGCGWGCTACGTAGGTCCCCCYTWMYAGGMTAAGTTATTTAAGAGGGTCTTTTTATGATAAATATGGCGAGACTATTCGAAGGTAGAGGGGAATCTGCTAATAAAAGCCTTAACTGTTCTGACATGTACTACGTTTCGAAAGACGTGAGCCAGTCGACAACAACAGTTTATTAAAATCACTCTGATATTACAATTGAAACAGCCCTCGCAGTTAGTCTAGGACTATTCGAGGCGAGGGCGATAAAAAAAGAAGAAAACTAATGTAAAAATATCAAAAATTCACAGCATGTTTTACAAGGAAAAAAGGAGAGAGAGAGAGAAAAAAAAGTGAGCGATAAAAGGAAAAAGTATGCGTATTATTAGAAAATGATTCAATAAATGTTAAAAGATAACATCGATATATTTTTTATTTTTCCTTTTCGTTTTTATTTTCATTCTTGAATTTTCTATTTGAGCTTACAACAAACAACATTAGGCCTAGCTAGAGCGCATGCGCACCTACAGGCGAGACCCTTCATCAAGAGTTGACTGGTGCATTTGGGTTTTGTATTCATACACGAGCAAGACACCAATTGATGATCGCGTTGACACGTGACCTGGTTTGACAGCTCGGCTGTTCGAGAATARCAGCTTAGCTTTTGAGGGGACCCTTCTGAGGGGCGGCCAGGAGCTCCTGGGGCTCCACGTGGTCCTGGCGGTCCTAATTTTAAGAAAACGAATAGTGCGATTAATACCTTGTCATATTGAACCTCATGTTCTCTTTGTGAATTGAAACATTTCCTCTCTTTCCTTTTATAGAGTGATTATTGTAAGCAACAAACAAAAGAGAAGCTTTCTATACCAGRGAAATACCTTTTGGTCCTGGGCTTCCTGTGGTTCCGTGAGAACCTTTTGCACCTGGGGCTCCAGGTGGTCCTTGTTTTCCAGGCYGACCACGTTGACCAGGAAACCCTCGAGGGCCTGGCACACCTGGCGGGCCTTGAAATATATAATGAACTTCATTAAACAAATGCTCTATATAATTGTAATTGTAATTTATTAGCTTTGCCCCTAGTATGGGCAGGGACACCGCAACAGCTTGCGCCCATTACTGCGGACCCTGTACTCTCACACTCACTACCTCTACATTAAGTATTTTAGCACACAACACTCCATACATGTTGATTTTTGCTGAGGGAGGAAAACCATTAATGGTTCTGAAAACAGACACTGGATTTCTGACTTGTCATGTAAAGTGCAGTGATTTTCCTTCATCCACGACAGGAGAGTTAGGTTATTTATAGCCTAACGTAGCAGCTGTGGGGGATGGGGTGGGTTTCTGTCTCCTCTCCCCCACCCCCTAGAACGGTTTCGCAGGCTACGATACTTGTAGTTAGTTAGCAATCTTCATAGTCATTGTTTTTGCTGTTTTGCTTTGTTCTTTATCAACTGTTGTACCAATAAGATATTCATTTTCTTTTCCCGTTTGACGGAAAAGCTCTATATATCAGTGTTAAAAATGATAAYCATTTGAAATATTTTCTGGATATCAGAGTACGTTTTATTTTATTAAAAACGTACTCTGATATCCAGATGGGGCTTGCCGTGGGAGTAGCGACTCGTTTCACGCCCACTATAAAGACGTCAAGCCCCTCTGAGTAYCAGGTTAATGAAAACGGTACCGAAAAAAAAAATAGATGGAAATGAAAAAAAGAAAAACATGTATTACACTGCAGTGACTTACCAACTATGTATGTGGTYCTGCGACGACGTCGACGACGACGAAACCACAGCGCATTGGCCCCGTCTTCGAACGGAGACCAGATGAGAACGAGAAGCAAAAACACCAGAGAGATCTTATACATCATATTGAGAAAGTATACACCAACACAGAGCGAGTGGTGTTTGATCGTTTGATGATTTGACAAAATATTGAGAATATGMAACGAGCTCAAAAACACGGAACACGGAATTGATCCGCGAATGTAAATGAATACCAATTAAATATGTCAGAACAAAATTCCATTTTAATGTTCTTGCACGATATTATGTTTTCAGTGCGGACAGTAAACGTTTTTATTTTTATTAGAAATGTTTAAATCTTTCAAAAGGAAGAATCACTATTATTACAAAAGAAGCCATTCAATAATAACAAGTTGTTGAATATTTCGACTTCCTGAGGAATTATCATTCCTATTTTACTCTTCTTTTATTTAAATTTGCTTTTCAATCTAGACAGACTACTTGAAGTGTTTGCTTTGCGACTTGAAAAAGTTCACGTTAGAGGAGCCATGTTTCTCAGACGTTATTCAATCACCAGTCAGGAAGTTTTAATTTCTATTCAATAGGTTGATTTTCAATTTCCCGTRACATTTTCTTTGGTAAGCGAGTGTAAGAAGTGAAGATGAGGTTAAGAGTTGTAATTCTACTTGTTATACTTGTACTGGTGCTATGCGACTTTGAAGCGAATGCGTGGAGAAGAAGAAGAAGGAGACGTCGAAAAGTCATTCTAGGTACGAATAAACTTATATGAAATTAAGTACTGCCAAGATCAAGGTTCGTGTCCTTGACGGCCCTTTAGACCAAAAAATGTATTTTCATTTCCAAAAAAATCAAAACATTAAGTCGTTTTCGTACGTACTTGAACCACTTAAATCCAAATAGTATTCAAGAAGTTTTAACGTTTTTCATACCCCTTCCATAAAGGGCGCGTATATTGATTGAAATTGAGCCAATGCAAAAGTAKAAAATTTATTCTGAATTTAAATATCTAAGCCTTACGAATACTTTTAGGCATTGAAATCATGTAACTTAAAAATGATTTAGTGTTTCGTAGTGTAGTTAGCTCTAGTGTAAGTTTTTGTATAGCAATTTATGTGAATACTAAAGTTGTATCATGTGTGCATTTGAAAAATTAAAAAATAATTAAAAAAAAAATCATCAGTTATTTCACGAATATGCGCATAAATAAACGTTTCACGGATTTGTAGCATTTAATCCCCTCAGTTAACAAAYCGTGGCAAGGTAAACTAGTGCCTACCTTCAATGACTATTAATGTCACTTTTTCTTTCAGTGAAAGGTCCTCCAGGACCTCGTGGTCGAATGGGACGACCCGGTGCTCGAGGSGCAACGGGCAAACCGGGTCCTCGTGGTGCTCAAGGCCCACAAGGCGTTAAAGGCAACACAGGAACTCCAGGACCTAAAGGTACAAATAAATAGGTTTTCTTACTCTTTGTTTGAAACCAAAGAAGCGTCAATATTTGCAGTCAAGAATCGTTATAAAGGACACCTTTCGGACCGTAAATGTCCGCTATAACGAGTGTCCGCTATAAAGGGAGTTATTGCCATTATTTCTTTGGATCGGCAATTTTTTGTGTCCGTAATATCTGGGTGTCCGTAATACTGGGGTGTCAGCAAGTCTGACAATAGCTGGTTCCAATTCACTGGTCGATATATTGGTCGATATATCTGGGTGTCCGTAATACTGGGTTGTCAGCAAGTCTGAAAATAGCTGATTCCAATTCACTGKTCGGTGTATTGAGTAATAATTAATCGAGTGATTGATTTAATGATTGTGTATCAGGACCCCCTGGTCCTCCTGGCCTGCCTGGAAGTTCCTCTCAAAGGCTTCAATGCAGTACCCTCACATCCAATCTGACSAAAACCGTGGTTTGTCCAGATCGTGATCAAATGGTCTCTTGTCTATGTCAGAGCACTAATCCTAAGTGTTCACCTATTATAAATACCTCTGATATGCAAAAGAAGAACAAATGTTCATGTAAATGTGCTCTGCCGATCGCTGTTTGCTGTAAGCTTGTCAATTCTTCGCAAGAGAGAGCAGGAGGAAAATAAAGTATGACTAATCAGAGATATTAAAATATGAAAAATTGAAAACAGATTGATGACTAATAACTTTAATAATACTTATAAGGATCAATAACGATTGATAAATCTTGGCTGCAGCGCACTGATAGGTCAGACAGCGTCCAACATTTCGCTGTTCAATAAATGCACGCCGAAAAGAAACTTTCTATGAACCAAAACAAAAAGGTCTCTTAGAAATTGTAGATAAGGGTCAGTAACAATTGCGGAAGCTAGCGCACTGGTCACACAGCGTCCTACATTTCGCTGGTAAATCGATGCGAAAGTAACGTATTATGAACAAAAAAGGTTTCTTAAAGATTCTAGAAAAATAATCAAAAGAAACACCAAAGCAATCACTGAATACATCATTAAGCAATCGTTAAAACTGTACTCTGATTGAAAGGAGAAAAAAAGAAAAAATATATAGAGAAAAAAGAGAATTTTTTAAATATTTCGAAATCTTTTCAGTATCAGTTCAAGTATTCAGATGTCCTTAATGCAGATATTCTCCACAAAGGGATGTTATTATTTCATAGAAAATCAATCCCTATGTGTTTCCAATATTTATCATTGCCGAGGGAAACTAGCCACCTTCTTCGCAGGGAACTCCACTTCGTTTCCACTCGAGTCCTGCGAAGGCGACTAAAGCGAAACCGAGCTGATCGCTGCCCCTCGTGCGCAGTCACGAGCTATAAAAACACACRACCTCTAAAAAGTACATCCAAAATAACCTATTTCCAGTTTCAAAAGAAAATACTATATTCTTGATTATTTTCTACATTATTCGGTTAAACAGCTGAAGAARAACAGAGTATAAATATTCCGCATGCACCACGCTGATTTAACAAAGGACTGTCATATGAGCATAATTAATTGTCATGGCAACGGTCCGTATAGTCTATTGGATTCGTGTCTCTGTGATCACCGACCTCGACGGACTCGAGTCCTCAAAATGCTTGATTTATAATTCTTTTAGAAAGATCTAGTACGTTTTAGATATCCAGAATGGTGCTACCTTTTCATAGGCAGCCTTTGCTGCATAAAAGGTATGAAATGCTTGATATGCCCACYGGTGAGCAAACCTCGAAATCATCATCACTTGGAAGCACAGACGAACGAAAAGGAGATGAGTACGCCAATTTTTTAAAGTAAGTTGTTTTAAAGCTTGTTTTAAAGTTTAATTTTAAAGCTCTAAATGTCTAAATACAGTGATTTGGTATGAAGGCTTCTTTAGAAACCGGTAATTTGAGTTTAAGTTGACTGGTTTTACGACTTGTTTTGATATGTTGTGTTTAAAGTGATCGACTTTAYGTCTGGTTGAGCGTTAAATTCAGCTGTTTAAAAGGAAAGGAATTGGTTTGATACAGCATTATTGTAACTCATCAGGGAGTATTAAAACAGTAAAAAACCCGATCGAMTTTATTTAAAGATATTTATCCAAACATTTCAAATGAGATATTTTAAAATGAAAACAAAATATTTCACTTTGTTGACGGAAAACAATTAATGCAAGAAAGCAGCTCAATTAATACTCTGCAGTGAGACTTTTAAAAAAATTATAGTGATATACTACTCAATAATAAAATGCTGTAACGCAAACATATTTATTCAATCGGTGCCAAATACTTCTTTTGAAACATACATGTAACGAGAATATTTTATATTCTTGGTAAATCTAAAAATAGAAGAAATTGAGAWGGAGCTTTATGATGTAATGCATGCTGAACTAATATTGTTTTGGAAACACATCTTCCATGATACATGTAGTATAAACTTTTATGTAATCCAAGAATGAATAACTTTAAATATTATTCCAAGATGAAATTATCTTCTATGTTCTAAAAATAGAGTTGAATGAATATGGTATAGTAAGATATTTTTCAAAATAATTGGACATTTCTATGGTATTGGTACATTAGGTGTTTGGAATAACAYGTCTGTTGTCCAGGCTGTCTGGACAATTGATTACATACATGCATAACTTATTACTTTTGTGGATATGACTTATTAATTTATGTACTGTGATTGGTCAACTCTTTGATTTCCAAAATCAAATTGTAATAATTAAAAAACAAAAAACTACAAAACACAAGGTTGCAACAAAACCTAGGCAAAACAAAATCAGAAAAAAATATTGAAAAACGTTTTTAAAAAAATCTATTACGTAAAGCCATACAATTGTGAAGACTTCATAATTAGTGTAATATTTCAAAAGTGAAACCTATATGCTAGTGCTGGGTTGTGTTGCTTCTATGAAACAACACTGGGTGTGACTATACAATATGTTATAAAATGATAGAGTGCTGGCGAATAAAACATCAGTATTGAATGTGAATACACAAGCTCTGCATTCACCTGATTATTTTGGCCATTAGCTCATTTACTATTTATGAGATTTATAACTATTAATTATTCTTATAATTTGAAGGTATTACTGTTATTTTACATAGATCTCTGTCAAGTGGTGAAAGGCAAGATGAAACAGTTTCAAAGTAAGCAGATCTAAAGCATTTTTGTGTGTGCAATTTCAGTTGTATATTAAATTATATACATATAAAACATCCTTTATAAAGTCAATTAAAATATAAAAAAAATTCAATTGGTTATGCTCATTCAACAGACCTAAACCTCAAACTAACAAGTCGACTAATACTACACTACCTTCAACAAGCACAAAAGGCAACCAGCAAAGTGGTGTTTCACCTCGACCCAAAAGCTCAAAGAATGAAGGGGTGTTGCAAGTTAGTTTACGGGCTTCACAAAATGAAAGGGACCACAGAAGAAAGATGAGAATCATTGAGGTAAATGAAAACCATTTTTCAGTACAGTACAATATCTTGATTGATAGTAACATGTTAGTGTCTATATTGTCTTTTTATATTAAAATCTATTAAGATAATATTAAATTATTAATTTAACGTCTATATTTCAGGATGTTATGCTTCAACATAAACAAGGRGAACGAGAGTTGAAAAGAAGCGAAGGAGATATAATTAAAAAGCAGCAACATTTACGTCGTGTTATGCTAGATTATGAAAATAGTAAGTATTGATACTCTTCAGACAGGTAGAATTATACTTGTTATTTAACAATAGATCTCATTTTTCCGTGCGTGTGTACTCTAATAGATACACAGATGACGTCAAAATGTAGTGAGAACAAAAAAGTACGCACGAGACGCAGTCGAGTGCGTGACTGTTGTTCTCACTACATTTTGACGTCATCTGTGTATCTATTAGAGTACACACGCACGGAAAAATGAGATCTATCTGTTTTATACAACAAACAATTAGTTTTGACGTAATCCGTGTATCTATACTTTGATAACATACGAAAGCCAACCAATCAAAATGTCTGATTTTACTGAAAAGTTGTATAAAATCAAATATCTAATGACAATATAATTGTGTACATTTTTATCAGATATTTACAAAAAGAAGAGAGAAGAAGAGAAAAAACTTAGTGACAACAACACAAGTATTGAGAAGATAAAACAACAGCATTCTGTACAAGAGGACAGGGTATGAGCATAAAGTTTACAATCTTGTACAATTTAAGAAATAATTTCTTAATTTCGTCATTTTAACTATAGTGTCGTCATTGACATGTTTTATTTTGGTTATGCGTCACACAAGGCTGAGTGGACAGATAGCATTGCGTGACATGGGACTTAAATTTAACTATTGCTAGTTTGCAATAGAGTACAAACGCTAACCAACATAAATGCTGCTAAATTATGCTAATTCTATTGTTTTCTATTGTTTAATTAGCACTATTTTGTAGTAAATATAGTGGAAAGTGTTGCACACAATTAGTGTTTGTACTCTAGAGCTTTTGATTTATACCACAAAGCGCTTTATATCTCTATTTTAACTAATAACAGTTCAATTAACTGTTTGAAAGAGTTTGCTTTCGATTGTGAGAAAACCTACGGCCGACCAACACTCAGTCATGTCTTAACTCAAGGCGAAAATTTCTAAGTGCCAAGCCGGCTATATAGTATGTAGACGAAAGGCTTTACGTTCTTATTTCATTTTACTTAGCTCTAAATAAGCGCTTGGTATTTCTATATGAAATAAAAGTAGTTTGATTTGATAAACTTTAGCCGTTCTCTCGAAATTTGTAGAAAAGTTTGGACTGCCTGTCATTTAGTTTTTTTAAGACCTCAACGGGCTGCCTGTCATATAGACACTGCGTTCTATATTAACTTGGGATTTATTAAACATTGCAGCTGCCAGCAGACTAGGTTTTAACATGACTTCCTTTTGATTTCCAGGCAACCAAAATTAGGATTGAAAGGAATTTATCAGCAGGATTGAAAATGAGAGATAAGGAAAGAAAGACATTTCTTCACTTGTAAGTTAAAGCACAGGGATCCCAACACAAACATGGCTGCGATTTTAGATTTATGGAATCCCAGCTAATATGGATCTTAAATTGTTGCTTTATAAAGCTGCAATGCTTTTTTCAGCAATTTCTTCGCTTTATAACAGTAAATTRATATGAAAAAACTCTCGCATTTGAATTAATTTGTGTTCAAACGAACTCATATTACCTTCGTTCTTCGTGAGAAATTCTCCGGGCTGTTTTTTTCGTGTCCGGTCTTCTTTGTTGATATTTCTTTTGCCAGTTGTTCACTTTAGGTCATAATTTCAAAGTAAGCTTTGATTTTGACTAAAAACGACGGAAGATGTGGAGTTTTTGAGCGAATTTTGCTTCTCGGACACCAATGCACTTTGAAGTGAAGAGCGCACTCGCAGGATAGGGCGATAGGGCGGGAAATGTTCTAAGTACCAGTCCCCGCAGTCGCGTGCAGAAGAAGATTTCCTTGAATGCTTAGATTTTCTATAAAATTTAATCAAATAAAACATCTTTTTCGTAGAAATGGTACTGAGTTTGATTATTATAAAGTTGCCAAGCAGCTCGAACTGACTAGAAACGAAGTTGCGCGCCTCACGGCTGAATATGAAGCGAACCTGAAGAAAAAGGAGGTAAGAAATTAATTCAGCCACTGTTAGCGGATAGAATTTTTTTAATAACATATTTTGTGAATTAGGAGGAAGAATATGAATTGAAAAAGCAAATGGCRGAGCTTTCAATCAGTGTGAACATGGAAGCACAGAAGAAACGAACATTACATGTGGAAGATAGGAGGTAAGGGTTCTTTCTTGTTGTTTGTTGTTGTTGTTTCTTTTTAAAGTGGTTGGGTTATTTTCCGGCATTAATTTTGATTTTGAGAAGGGAAAGAGGTTCTTGATTGATAAAAAAGCTGTACGGCGTTGGGAATCCTCGTCCTTTTGCTATACACACGTGAAAAACGGTATCAGGCCGATTCCACCATTGATAATTACATGGAAGACAGAAGTTCTCGAACCACGTCAAGTGTACTTTCTATATGACGACACAGATTTAATCGAGTTTTAATAAAGCCAAAGGCGAAACACTCTAATTGCAAATGTAATTTTCCTAGGCCACACATGCAACAGAACGCACCTTGACATCATACCTCTCATTCAAGACGTTTTAGACTAATTTGTAGCATTTTTTTCAGTAATCGCAAAGACACAACTTACAAAGATATCCAGGTTGGTGCCACATGATGGATAATGATATATGTATCCCATCGATCAGCGCGAGATATATCAATTCTATAAGGTGTGTGGTGCAAATAGATGTATCACAATTTTGATTCTATATATTTCTTCTATCTGTAACAGGATCGAAGTAGGAGGCAAGGAAAATTGAATGAAAAGATTAAGTAAGTTTTTTTTACAACCACTAACTGACACCTTACCAATCACTTACTGACACCTTACCAACCTATTTCTTCTATCTGTAACAGGATCGAAGTAGGAGGCAAGGAAAATTGAATGAAAAGATTAAGTAAGTTTTTTTTACTTTAGTAAAAGTAATATTATAAATAATTCAAAATTTTGCCGCCATTATGTGAGAGTAACCTTGAAATATTAACTGAGCGTCTCAAGCAAGCTATAGCCTTTTCTTACGACACTACGGTAACTATACGTTCCTAATTACCAACTATGTTGTTTACTAGCTATACCGAGAACCAAGGCCTGCGATATGAATTCAATAAAAGACGTTTGAGTCGTGATTTACTGGYTACGAAAGATACACTCTCCCTGAAGAACAGAGAAGGTTTGTCACTCTTCTACCTTCCCTAGCTTATATTGTCATGTATTTTTAAAGGCCACGTGTCGTTTGCACGATTATACTTTGCGCGCCTCTGTTATTGTTATGATTTACACCAAAATACTTCTAGTATCCAAATGTCACCATAAAACGAATTTCAGATGGCTGAAAACTTTTATATTAGCATTTAAAGTGCTTAGAAAAGTGAGATGCTCAAAGATTCGAAACGCACAGTTCAATTTATAGACTTTTGGTAAACTGAAAATGGCCGCCTTCCGGCCCTCACGGCCCCCAAAGCATAATGGTGCACACTGGGCCTTTAAACCAACGGATCAAAAAGAATTGCGAATGGATATTTGAAATCACCGTAGAGAGATCTAAGATAAGACCGAATTGCATGCCGGTTGAACATGGCCCTTGAGATTGTACAATATTGATATATTCTGCTTTGATATCGCAGAGGGCCGTAAGATGACGGATGTAAGCAGACGTCTACAGCATAACTCAACAAGTCAAAGGGAAGCAAAACTAGCCGCTGAATACCTTGAACTGGATCGTCAAGGAAAGGAGATCGAAGAACGTGGTCAGGTACGTTGTTGTGATGCTCGCTCTTGATTGGCTAACTTTGACTTACAGTTTTGTCAAAAGGGACTGGGTTTTGCAGTTTCAATTTAACTACTTCTGCTCAGTCTTTTTCTTTACCCAGCCGGAATATTGGAATATAAGCTAATCTTAAGGATATTAAGATAAATGTGTTGTGTTTTCAGTTTGCCGAGGCGAGACGCAATCAATTACTTGACCAAGCAACTCAGAACCGAAAATTGCAATACAATCAGTCAATTGCTGAATGGAAGAAGCGTTACTTGGATAAACACAACGAATCGACTCGAAGGAACCACGAACACAGCATCAAACACTTACAGGTGGGTTTATATACGAAGCCATTTCCGGAAGCAAAACTGCTGGTTTTCAATGGACATCAAGGTGTACACGTTGTCCGTTCCTGTCCTTTAGTAGCCTAGTAGTTGTTCACAAGCTATTTAATGGGTTAATTATATCCACTCGAGTAACCATGTGATCTGTTAATTATTTAAATCTCATACGATGTTGGAAGTGATGAAGCAATAGGTTGCTTTAATATTAGTTTGCTCTTGTGGACAATTTGGCGAGAAAGTGGCGGAAGATAGCGCAGAAACAAGGAGAAATGGCGCGGAATAAATCTAAAAATAAAACGGTTTATGTTGAAAAAGTGAAAGAACAGCGAGTATTTTCATTAGCCTTCCCAAGTGCGTTTTTTCCAATCACCATAGACAGTGCATGAGTGAGAATTATTGCTTGTAATCTTAACAGAAAACTGTTGCCAAGCTTGAAGAGAATGAGCATGCGYTATACAACCGGCTTCGTGCCGCTGAGATGCAGCGACGTAAACAAGAACAGATTGTTACCAGAATGCAAGGCGAACTTGTGTCGATGAAGAAAGAAAATGCCAAGAAAATAAAAGTAAGCGTTGTCTTGGAGATTGATGATAACATCATAATAGTTTTAATAATGGCGGGGAGATGATAATGATGATGATAGCGGCCATATTGATTATGATGAAAAATAATAAAATAATGGTGTTGTTTTTATTACTTTTGATTAGCTACTAATTATTTATTTATTATTATAGGAAGCAACAGTGCAATGTCAGAAAAGAGAAGTCGAAGTTGAACAAAAGCTTCTTAGAGAACGAGCTGAATTAGCAAAGGTGAAATAAAAATAAACATATKRCTYGTGGTCAGTTTGTTTACATTTGTCAGTAGTTTGAAAGGGAGATGGCTCCTTAGTTTTTATTTATTTTATCAAATCATTTTTGTTTTTCTTTTGTACGACATGTAWAGCTCCTCAGCCAGCGCGAAGAAACGATTAAGATGTTAAACCAACAGCGAAACACTTTACAAGAAGACAAATACATGCTAGGRGAAGAAGAAAGGGTAARTGTTGCATAACTGATGCTCTAAATTTCAATGTGRAACTCGCWGCGGARAGACAATTTGACWTTTTTTTAATATTTTGTACAGGAACATGACCGTATCGCAAGAATTGGTCAAAGAACAGATCAAGTAGAGCAAGCAGTGTAACTGTAGAAGTGTACAACCGAGAAATGTCGGCTTGTACCAATTTTATTTCCTGGAATGTTATTCACGAATTCTTGAGCCCGCGGCTACAAATAGTCAGCCAAAGCAACGTCAGCCTGTACCGAGTATTATCAGTATAGTACCGAGCTTATTTGATTGGTTCATCGTAGATCAAGTCTCACTTGACTGATGTTTTTGTATTTGACCACGGAGAATGGGCATTGTGGGACGCCATCTTGTCACGCTGAGCATGCCGGTAAATTTGATCCTTCGCATTTTTAAACCGTAAAAATACAAAAGCTATTTTCATGTTTTCTACTCTGCAAAAAAATGCCGCAAAAGTGATTTCGCTATTTTTATCAAAGCACAAAAACAGATTTATTTTAGCCGCTGTCAAAAAAGTGCGAGGTTTGCTCAACATGCTTTGTTTTACAAAATGGCGTCTTTCCATTATGAATCACCATGAAAACGCATCGGTGTGGACGTTATAAGAGCTTGGTAGCTACCCTGATCTCTTTGGCTGACCGGTTTATAATGCAGGCTCATYTATGGTATCAGTTCTTTCACGGATATTAGTGTATTTACTATTTTCAAATTAACAACGTTAAATTAGTTTGAATTTATAATAATATATTGTTTTTTTATATAATTGTAAATATGTATTGCACCTTAAGGGTTTTTTATGGTTTGTTAAATAAAAGGAATTGTGTGATGAATATATATTTGTTCGCCATTTTTCATTGACTACGTATCTAACAAGATCAAGTTCACGTACACAAATATTCTACGATCTTTTTTCAATCAGACAGCAACCTAAAAAGGCTGAATAAATATCTAATCTAATTATTGTGAGACAATTCTAAATTAATCAGCTCAGATCCAAGATGGCGGACAATATTGAATGAAAAGTGACGTCACCCCAAACAACTGAGAATAGCCTGGGAACGAGGCTAATCCTAAATGACTCAATAAACTAGTTTCTTTTTTTTTCTGTAAATATTTTACGTTAAACGGCGCGTGTGGAGCTTAAAATACCGTTATTATTACCTATACTTTATAAATATAACATAATATTTCTATAATATTAAAATAAAATGCATGTCTAATATATATCAATGGTTTTACACCAGACATTTGTTGCAAGACCGTTTGCAGTGACGAATCATAAARCTTTGGTTCTTTGCACACTCGTTTTCTTTTGCCCATTGCTTACAGTGAGGGCTCTTGTCGACACAACCTGAGAACGAAAGAAATGATGTAAATATATCGGGGTCAACTCACCAAAATATAAAAAATTGACCAAATGCTGAAAGCATGAAAATAATGAATCTATAAACGTGCAAAAGAAAGAGTACCAAAAGTTGAATGATAAAAAATACCATATCAAAGATTCTACTTACATGACGAACAGCTCTTCCAGCATCTTTTGTGCATGAAGCCGGGATTTTTTTGACATTCGCCTTTTTTAGCCCATCCTTCRCACTCAGGTTGGCTATCAACACAAGGGGCTAAACGAACGAAAACAAAATAGTATTGTAGAATAGAAAAGAAAGTTTCAGGCTGCGGAGTGGAGGAGTAAAGGGAAAAGTGAAGCGAAAAGGAAGAAGGGAAGGAAGACAAAATTCAGCTAAAAAGTCAACAAATTTGAGATAAAAAGGAATCGAAACGCAAGGAGAGAGTAATTGACGGATGAAGCCATTGAAGRAAACRGACACGAAGAAATGTTCATACCACAATGTGAACAGCTTCTCCAGCAAAGCTCCATCATAGGACGAGGATGTGATTGACATAAACCACGCTTTGCCAAC